AATAGACAATCAACTCCGTGCTCTAGAAGAAATTTGAACTTTTGGAGAATAAGTTTCATGGAATGTTCAAGTTTAAATGTTTTATTGGCCATAATTTTTATCTCTGTGATACACTATTTTTGCTCAATATAGTTTGACTGATTGTTGGATAGTGTGGCCACTTGATTCCATTCCTGAATTTTTTTTAGTTTTTGCATTTAGAAGCTTGACATTTTACGAACATGCAAGATATTTCTTTCAATCTTTGTAGCATATAAAAGATATCATTGTATGCAAACTTATGGACAATATCTAAAGTTCTTCCATGAATTATTTATTCTTTATAATTAGACTTAGATTCATTTTGTAAAATCATTATGTCATTACTTTGACATGATGATGGCCTGGTACATAGTCTGTCAAATTCAAAATGCCCTGAGGTATGTTATTAAAATATGCAAGTCTCTTTTTTGTTTCTCTCTTCTTCTATGTTTCGAATTTATCTAAATTCTCTAACTCTTAAACGATCGAAACTATTATAGAGCTACTCCAGACTTGCGTTCATGTGGAGTGATACTTTTTGTAAAGGTTGCACGAACCTAACCTTCTCTTTATACTACTGTGAAGCATATAGACCAATTAAATTTGTGTAGAGTATGTTGGAACATAATTTACATTCATGCTCATTGCTACCTGGAAATTATGTTAATGCACCAAGCTCCTGATTTTTTTGTTTATTTTTCTGATGTATGTTAAATCGTTCAATAAGGAAAAAAATGGAATTGGTTAAAGAGCGGGTAATCCACAATAAACAGAGTCTGTTGCATAAGGACTAAGCTGTGCCATGAGGGACATTGCAATTGGATGATGCATTTTGGTTATCAGGAAAATATTTGCTGTCCCACCACAAGTTATATGAGTTGTATTAGTTTTCAATGATTTTACATAAACATCATTAACTAAACAAAATCTCGTAATTGACTGCAAATTTGATCATCAATCTCGAAAAATATGTTTTCCTAGGATTCACCTGAATTTCAATGTATATGCAATACAAAGAAGATAAAGATAAGTTTGATTTGATGTAGTTTACATTAAATTATTTTCACCATATAATAATATTACAACACGTGCAACGCACGTGCACCTTGCTAGTACATAAAAAGGTAGTAACAAATTAAATATGTTCGCAACTTCCTCATAAATATACTAGTTTGTCCTCCTATCCTTTAAACATTTCCCTAAAACGAAAACTCTTACAACATATTTGAAACCTTGGAAAATAACTTTATAATAGTGTAATTGTTCATACATTTAAATGTACTAGCAAGCACTATGTGCGTTACACTTGATTACGTATGATTTTACTTAATACATAACTTATGATTAATTAATAAAAGTTACATACTATATTTTACAGAAAATATATTTTTAAATAAAATCAAATAAGTACAAAACTTCATGTTCTACTTATGTATCAAAACGTAAGATGATAGAAAATTATTGTAAAATTGAAATCAATTAGAATATAAAATCATAAGAAAATAACTACAATAAATTGTTATGTATTAATTCATGCACTGAAAATGCTCACATTAAAATTTGTCTTATTTTATTGTGATAGTTGATAATTTTCATTATCTTAGAATTTCTCTGTTAGCTATTGTTTGAAACAAATAAGTCTTTTTTCGTGTTACTCGTATGTTACGATCGATTTGGTCAAATTTACGAACAATTTCCTTAAAGAAAGTGTAAGTTTACTACATCAGAGCCCTAATGTTTGGTGTAATCACAGTTAGACTGCCTCTAATTTGAAGAATTATGCATATCTCCCTTGAATTTGTAGTAGCTAAGACTTTATTCATTTCATCATTTACTTTTTCTAAATTAATATTTCACCCTTGACCAAACTTTGAGTGAACTATATTTACCTCCCTTCTATCTAATTATATGTATACATTCTTATATTTACATTCTTTCTTTGACCACAAAATTATAAAAAGTTTTGATCATCCACGTCTATTACTTAACTTTTTATTTATTTTCATAAACCGGTTTTTAATATTCTTTTTTTAATATTGATGTTTGAGTTACATTATAATATTTATAAAATAAATTTAAGTAAAAAATAAAATTAATTATTACATCTAAAGATTAAAAATACAATAAACAAAGAGCCCTCAATATAAAAATGGAAAGTAATTTTTATGTGATTACCTATTTAAAAACATACTTATGATATTATGATCATTGTAAAACTCCTGAAATGTAACTTTAAAGAAAAAGCATTGTTGAAATTTAATGTATAAAAATAGTTACGATAACCAAAAAAAAAAAAAAAAAAAAAAAAAAACAACAGCTTTTAACATATTTTCTAGTATATTAACATGTCATGGACATTAAAATTATATATTATTAAAAATAAGTAACGTACATTATCATGTATTTACTTATCATATTTTTATATCTTTTTTTTTTTTTACATAATTGGATATGGTTAAATCATGTTATCGCTTATACTAATAAAATACATAAATAACGATAGTAAATAAAATTTCAGATCTTATTTAACCTCAATAATTATAATCAATCTTAGTCTTTCACAACTATTTTTTTTTCTTATTTCTTATATGTAAGCTAATTTCAGTAAAAGTCCCCGTGCAATTACCATTTCAGTTATGAAAATATGGGTTAATGTGATGTATATGTTCAAATCCCGTCAATGTGTAATATTGATGAAGTTATAGTATAATGGATGGAATTGATAAAACTTATATTATGGAGTGCAGACGAAAGACATGAGGATGAGTTTATTTGCAAGACTGTTTTTTGTCTGGACCTATATGCATTTAAATCCCTTATCATGGACTTATTTGCCATTCGCCCTTATATATTATCTATAAAAAGAGCATTTTGGTTGTCACATAAAATAGAAGAAGCCTCTCTACTTTTATAGAGATTTTTTTTTAATAATAAATATGAATAAAATAAACAAATATAGATATATAGATAAGAGTTCTTTGAGAAAACCCCTCAAAACTTTCATTAATAGGAAGAAGTTCAAACTATTTTGCACCATTTGAGAAAAATTCACTCCTTAATTTCAGCTAACCATTTTTCCAATTATGTCTATGCCACCTCATCAGCCCTATCATGCACTATGCCGCTACCTCATCAGCCGTTTTTTATTTTTTTATTTTTTATTATTATTTTTTAAGTTTTTTATTTTTTTAACTTTTTTTTCCATATGAGGTATATTGATCGACTATGAAGCATAATTGATTAACGAACAGACTATTAAAAAAAACACAACTACATAAAAACAAAAATCAACATTTTTTTTACAAAATAAATAATATAATAAATCGTAATTGATTTATACAACTCATAATCAATACAAAAAAATCCGAAAATGAAGTAGAGTAACCTTAATCGTCTACCAAAACAGTCGATTAACACTTTAGTCGACTACCAAAGAGTAGATGATTAAGTTAAACGACTACAAAAAATGTACTCGATATAGAGTCCAACATGCGCGAATTTCTCTATCCGCGCCGTCCTCTGTCCGATCTACCAAAAAATCCTAGATCTACATCCACATCGTCACCACACAGCCGCCACACCACACCATCACCACCCCACTTCGATATTCTTATAGGTTTTTTTTATTACAAATAAAGTAAATCACAACCTACACCACCACCCATCAAAATCCGATTCCGGCAACAATCGACGAAAAAGTCATCTTCCTCTCACTCGTTCCGGCAACATGCGGCGAAAAAAGTCATCTCCAAGAGAAGGAGATGGAGGAGCGCCGTTCTAGCGGCGCCGACGACTCTTGTTGTTCGTCTCCAGATCGAGAGAGAAAAAAACAGAGGTTTGGGAGAGATTTGGCAGAAGAAGAGAAAAGAGAGGCGTGAAAAGAAGAAGAGAGAAATGATAAATGAGATTAGGGTTCTTCAAAAGTATATTACACAATTTAGATTTGTTAGGAATGATGTTTTAAAGTGAAAGATGGTTTTTCTAATTACTTATATTGAATTATCTCACAATTCTATTAGACCAATCCAAAGAGATTAACTTGTTAGAACTATATCTATGGCCTAGCGTGTAATTACACATATAAAATACTAATAGATGGATTTCATTAATACAAAATAGATTGTTTCAGACAAGTATAGTAAAGACCTGTCTTTACTATGTTTCAGACAAAATAGATTGTTTCAGACAAATAGATTTCATTAATGGATTTCATTAATATGTATATTTAGGTGTTAAAAGAATGGTTTTCAACCTATTTGGTCCTTGTAACTTATAACATTTGATGGCCATTCTTGTGATATAAATAGTACACACGGTAAAGAGTTTTAAATACAGAAGAAGAGGAGAATGCACATTTTGTTTCTCTCTAAATACATGAGAACTTTAGAGAGAAACAAAATGTGTATTCTCCTTAAATTTGAAAAAAAAAAAAAATTAGTGCATGATTTAGCATATAAAGATAAAGATAAAATATTACATGGCTAAAATATGAAAATATTTTCCTTAAATTTGAACTTCAAATTTAGTGCATGATTTAGCATTCCAGTTAGATTAAATATAATTTTTTTTAGATTTCCAGTTTAATTTGATTATTAGAAGTGCGACCCATGTTTTATCTTTTAGTCCCTATTGTAGCTCAATCGATTATCTAATGAATTGAGAAAATAGAATTCAAGCCCGCATGGGTGTAGCTCAACTGGTTCCGGGTGGTAAGTTGGTGCAAGGTCCTAGGATCGAATCCTGGCAGCCGCAGTGTGGGAATTTCAACTCCAAATGAGGGTTGGTTCCTTGTGGGCACCAGGTCCGGGTCCGCTACCTTAACGGGCCGTTGAGTTACCATGATTTACATCCTCCATCAATCCTTGTCGGGCCGAGGGATGGGGGCCCTGGGGCGAGGGATTCGCCTTTTTGGTGCAAGATAAATATACATTTATTAATAGTGATTTTTTTTTATAGGATTATTAATAGTGATTCAATCATAATAAATATACATATTCATTATTTACATTTGACTCTATGGTCAATTCTGTTACATAGTTATAATTTATTTATTCAATTAGTCTACAAATCACACCTAAGAATGTCCTTTTCTTATTCATTAATTTGTCTCTTTGAAAAAAGATAACCCACTGTCCACGAAACCATGTAGAGAATTGACTTGTTATATCCATAATAAATACTTGCCAATTAGCACAAAGCCTTCCACAAAATAAATTTTCAAAAAAATATATTCGAAAAACTAAAATGGGAGAAGTGAAGTTGATTGGCGTTGATGCAAGTTTCCCATGTGCCAGAATCATATGGGCTCTAAAACTGAAAGGCGTTGAATACGAATTCATCGAAGAAGACTTGCTCAACAAGAGCTCTCTTCTCTTGAAGACAAACCCGGTTCATAAGAAAGTCCCTGTCCTAATACACGGCACGAACCCCATAGCTGAATCATTGGTCATTCTTGAATACATCGACGAGGTGTGGAAAACGTGCCCTTTGTTGCCGGTAGATCCATACGAACGATCCGTAGCCCGTTTCTGGGCTAAGTTTGTTGATGAAAAGGTACATATTATTTGATCAAGCTACTTCCTTTTACCTAATGACTTTTTTTTTTTTTTAAGCAAAGATATAACAATTTTTGTTGACTCTCTAGAATCATTAAATCTAGTGTTCAATCTTCAACAGAATAGATCAAATCAAGACCACAAGGATAAACTTGGTATTTGACAAATAATGAGTCAACTCAGTCAAAATCTACAAAAAAATCTATAGAATTGACCCAAAAAAAAAAAAGTAAAATACCAAAATTTGATAGCATGTAGGAAAAATGTACAAAAAATAGGCTCAATTGTTGGATCCATAATAGATTGGGGACGAAAGTTCAATTGTTTTTTTTCTCTATAACTTTGAAAAATGACTATAAATAAGTAACTATTTGAACTTTTATATTTTAAATAACTATAATATCATTATTGATACTACTTAAACTTAAAAATCATTTATTGTAAGTGACTAATATATTTTTTAGGGAGGCAAATATACAATAAATATATAAATGCAAATAGAAAAAAGTATTAAGAAAAAATAAAAAATAAAAATATCTTGCAGGGGCGGCTGCCCCGCCAAGGTATGTCTTGGGTCCGACCCTGGATCCATGATCGATCGACACATGTATATATGGCCTAAATCGAACCCAGTCGATGCATTAGCCATGCACCTTTAGTATCAACAAGAATTAAGATTAAATAGCTACCAACTCTAGAAAATGTAATGTACTAAACCAACTTAGTGTATAATTTGATTACAGTGTGTTCCAAGTGTATGGGAAGCTGCGAGGTTAGAAGGAGACAAAAAGGAGGCGGCCATTGTATCTGCGAAACAAACGTTACAACTTGTGGAGAAGCAAATTGAAGGAAAAAGGTTCTTTGGTGGAGAGCAGTTAGGATATTTGGATATAGTGATGGGTTGGATGTGCTTGTGGCTTGGAGCCATGGAAGAAGCCGGTGGAATGAAGCTTCTCGACTCCGAGGAATTCCCTTCACTCTGCGAATGGATTCTCAACTTCACTATGGTCCCCACCATCCATGAAAGCCTTCCACCAAAGCAAAATGTGGTTAAATACTTCCAATTTGGACTCAACTACATGCGTTCCTTAGCTGCACCCAACGCCCAAAACTAGTTATTACGCAAGCGTTTCGTCAGTGTGTGAGTGTGTGTGCGTGTGCGTGCATGTGCATGTGCGTGTGCCTGTGCCTGTGTGTGTGGTGAAGTCAGGATTTTATGACAGCGGAAGCCAATTAATGCACCCAAAAAATCGGTAATGCTACAATATATGATAAATAATGAATGTCTATATAAAATACTAGGGATTTGAGAAAGGTTGGGTCCCCGACCTTATGCTGGCTTTCTCGTTGTGTGTGTGTGTGTGTGTGTGTGTGTGTATGTTTTGAAGGATTTGTATAACTTCTTTTTTTTAGTGTAATGTAAGATAATGTAAGAGATAAAAACAAGTATTTCTAAATTGGGTGTTTATGTGAAGTAATAAGCGATGTACGAATTGAACTCTAAAGATGATTGAAGCTATATCTCATCTCACATTAATTAATTGCAAGTGAATATGTCACAATATCTCCAATAGCTACTAGCCTCTTAATAGACTTTTGGGGTTTTGAAGTGAAGTTTTGAATAGGCCTTTTGTATAGCTTGGCCCTTCTACTTCAAATTTCAATCATAGTTATGAACTTAACATCTTTCCCCAGTACAAAATTCAATATATATATATGTATATGATATGTATATGATATGTATACCTTAGCAGGTTATATCTATCTATACATACAGGAAAAATATTGAAGTATACACAAACAAAAGTATTTAAAAAAAACGCAATTAGTTTCCAATGCGTTGGCAACGGACCCAAAATGCAGTCCCTCCACTTCTGCCGCGGGCAACCGCGATTTCTTCATCAATATAAAACCATATGAAAAACGGATCCTTATTGCTCGGCTCTCTTTCGTCTTTTCCTTTCAAACTAAACTCAAACGGGTTAAGTGGGCCCACTTTTATCCGAATTTGCTCAAATATGAACGCAAGTATTCTTTTGTTCCACGAAACCTTCCTTCAAAGGTCAAACACCCGAGGGGCCCAAGATAAACACCATTCTCAATCGTCTTCCTATATATATATATATATATATATATATATATATATATATATATATATATATATATATATATATATATATATATATATATACAGTTTCAAGTGAAAAATACATATCATCCCATCGTTCATTTCAATACAGGAAACATAAGTAAGCTAAAGAGTCGAGGAAGCTTACAGCTGCATCAAACCTCTGAATGGCCGTGATTGGGAAATATTTACCGCCGTCTAACTTTTTCTGCCAAATCAGCATATTTATCAGTACAAAAAGAAAAGAAAAAAATCAACTTACAAGATAACAGAAACAAAGAACTAATAAAAGAAAGAAATACCTGTGCAGTAAAAATAAGCATCCATGTATTACCAGGTGACTTTGTTCCACCAAGAGTTTCGAGAAATCGAGAGGGATCGAGCTTTGCCTTTTCGATCACAGAAAAGGCTTGTAAAATCTCATCCGCCGGAACTTTTCTTGTCTTTGCTGCATTTTTTAGCACTCTTACACTTTCTTCAACTTCCTAAAACATAATTCATTTGTGTTATTCTCAAGTTACTTCTTAACCACACAATGAATGAATATACCGAGAATCAAGAATTGAGTTTCAAAGACATGATGAACGTCGGTATTCACCATCCTCTCTCTCTCTCTCTCTCTCTCTCTCTCTCTCTCTCTCTCTCTCTCTCTCTCTCTCTCTCTCTCTCTGTGTGTTTAATATAATATGAATGCAGCATTGCAAAAGGCCGTTAAGTGATTCCTACTTCAAAAATCAAAAGTATTCCATTTTAAAATAATTCATCTAACAGAGTACAAATTTCTCTCGATATCAGGCAACCGACATTCTTACGTAATATCTTAGTCAGATTTTAAAGCCCAAATGAAGCTTTTGCATGAGTAAGTCACACCTATCCTTAAATCGGGTAATGTCCTAGGCCTACTCTCTTATGTTTAAGTACTTCAATTCTCAACAAACTCAAACAATTGATTGCATCGAAACTTTGTATTTCTTCATATTTCAACTTCTATCAAGTCTCTTTCTTTGCTACATATAAACAAACATTCAGTGTTCCATTCTTGTAAATTTTGCATGCTTATTTGCATTTATCTCATTCTTCTACTCCACGAACCAATTCCACCAAATATACTTTTCAATATCAGAACCCCAACACTATCCATTTCAAATTTCAAACCCACACACAAGCGGAATACAAAATACAATCCACACTGTAAACAAGAATTGTAGAATTGTAGTAATTGAAAACAAACCCATTATATTCTTATTCTTTTGGAACATATATAATAATAAAGTAAGAGAATTATGTAATACCTTGCTGAGTTGTTTTTTTTCTTCAATAAGAAGTGATGGAGTAGTGGAGATTTGGGCATCCTCGTCAAGAGTAGCTCTGGTCCGTACAGAGGTGAATTTGGGGTTTCTTAATTTAAGAAGAAGAGGAATTAGAGATAAATTAGTTTCAGAGGGTTTATAATGGATGAGATGTTGAAGAGGGCGTAATGAAGGTGTGAGGGATGAGTGAGAAGGAGCAGCAACGAAGCAATTAGAGAGAGAAGAAGCCATTTCTGTTTCTCACTCACCGTTGGGGAAATTGGTTGGCTGCTCTTCATTCTGTCAGTTACATAAATATCTTGTAGTTATTAATTTATATTTGGAGTGGATAACTTAGTCTAGCTCACTTTTAATTTATAATTAAAATTTCAAATTTTCAAACTCACATTGCTCCAAGTACGAATATTTTCTCCAACTTAATTTTAGTTGGGTTCGTGTTGTTAGGCACCAACTCAATGTAACGTGCATTGAGTTCGTGTTGAACAACACGAACCAAGTTTTTTTCTTTTTTTATTTATAATTAATGATTTTTTTTAATAAATAAGCGTCATTTTCTTAACGTAAAAAATTACACTTGGTCGGAAAAGGGAAAGGGCTTATGAGGTTCATCCCCCACAACACGAGGTTCCGGACCGCAATTACAAGTTTATAGATCCTTCTCACTTTAGAGACCTTCTTTGTAAAGATAACACTTTTGCTCCTTCTGAATCTGCTCATGGTAGGTCTGCAGTTGAAAGTGTTTCTGCAGGTGTTGCCAACACCTATGATAGATTTGCTACCAACATCCTTATTCCAAGAGATAACATACTCTCTCGGCTCAGACCCTCCAAAGAAGAACACCAACATGCTAAAGCCTAAGTGGCATATCATCAACATATGATTGAAATGTTAGACTTAACCCTTTTTGATAAAAAAAAGGGGGGGGGGGGGGGGGGGGGGGGGGGGGGGGGAAATGGTGATGATCATAACGATATGGATGTTGATGAGGGTGCATAATTTGAGACTGAAGTTGGAACTTCCAATCCCACTGATACTGGAGGTAGAGCTAAAGTTGAAGATGATGAAGACATCTCTAAATTCATGAGTGGGGATAGTGATAAAGATGATGACGAAGGAACTGATTCCAACAGTGGTTCCAGTGCTGAATTATAGAACCTTGTTTTTTTTTTTTTTTAACAATTCATGATTGTTTTGTTATATTTAATGCATTTTTACTGCATTTGTTTTTGTAAGGATCTATTTTGTTTTATTTTTTCAACTTTTTTTTGTAATATATGCTCTTTTTTTTTATATTAGTGCATAACTTATTTGTTCTGATATACATGGGAAATTTGAAGTATTTAACACGGGGGAGCTCAAAATCTTTTACACATGGGGGTGCTTCAAAATTGGCTTTGGTCATAAAGCCAAAAATGGGGAGTTTGTTGATATTTTTGATTTTATAAACCAAATATAATTTATTATATTTAACTTTCTTTAAACAATTTTTATTTATTTATTTAATCATCTTTATTATTTGTAGTTAGTGGACGATTATCTCTACTTAGTGTTTATTATTTTAACACATATTTAATTAATTCACTAACTTATTATCTCCTCTAGTGTGTTTATTTCGTGCAGGACTAGGAGCTCTCGAATTTTATAAATAGGAGAAGTCGTCAATTCATTTCTTACTGGTTTCTGAAGAAATCTGAGGGCAGAGAGATTTATGTATTTGAACACTTTCAACAACACCTTGTATCTCTCACAACATAATTGTGTATGTCGTCTGTACTCCTAGAGTTCGGTTAAGCAACATTGTTATCGATTCTAGGAATTATTGTATGAAAAAATCAATTTGTGATTTCTTCACAAAAGGGAAGATCTTGGCTTCTTTTTGTGTATTCTTTGAATAATATTTTAATAAAAAATTCTCCTATAAAGGCACATTCACATGTGCAATCTCTGATTTTATATTATATATATCTATACATGTAAATTAAGTGGCATCAAATTCTTTCAATTGGCATCAAGATTCAACACTTGACATATACTAAGTGCTCAATATTGTGGTTATTTTATTTCAGAGACACAAATTCATGATGGAAACACCAATATCTGGCTCTTCGATACTGGATGGAACTAACTATACTTATTGAAAAGTGAGGATGAGGGCATTCATCAAATTAATTGATGAAAGGTCCTAGAGAGTTCTGTTGACTTTATGACTCCTCGACAACGAGTTCAGTAGATGGTGATGTCGTAGTAATTTATGTGGTGGAATGGACTATCTATCAGACTGCAACAACCAGCTACAACTCAAAAGCTTTAAACACCATCCTTAACTCCGTAGATCCCACAGTGTTTAAGCTTATCTCCATGTGCACAAGTGCGAAGGATGCTTGCATTTCAACTGCATTGTGAAAGTTCTGAAAGTGTAAGGAGAACAAAACGTAGACTGATGTCTTCCAAGCTTGAACGCTTGAGAATGGGTAAGAATGAAACCATTTCTTAATATAATGAGAAGATCATTGATTTGAAAAATTCAAGCTCTTTGAGGTCCATTGAGCAATGAAACACTAGTCAACAAAGTATTGAGAACATTCACAGAACGGTTCCAAATGAAGGTCACAACAATTAAAGAATTATTTGACACATCCACCATTAGGCTTGATGAGTTAACGGGGACTCTCAAGTCTAGTGAGATTAATGACGAGGAGTAAAAGATTCATAAAGGAAAATCCGTGACAAACTACAAATAGATGTTGCTCAAAATGTCACAACACCTGAAGATGAAAATTTAGATGGTGAAGCCTGTTTGAAAAATGCAGCTCTTCAAATTAAGAGATTCAATAAAGAGGTTAACAGAAATGGTGTCTAGCCTCAAAGACACTTCAACAATGTTTCAATTCCAAACTCAAATAGATCAATTTCAAACTTTAATAGATCTGGACCTCAATGAACTAACACTCAAAAATGTTTTCCAAATTCCTTTCAATCTTTTTCCAAAAATCGATCTAGATCTTCTCCAACTAATCTTTATTATGTTCAATGTAGGGCTTGTACATATTTTGGTCACTGTGCAAATGAGTGTGCTAACACACTAAGGAAAAGATGAATGAGTCTCTTTGTCTCCCACAGAGACAATGAGTAGTACTTAGGAAGAAGAACTTTTTGTTAATTTAGCCAAATATGATGAGTGTGAAAATGTGGATGTTTTTCCTCAAGAAGTTGTTGTTGATGTTACCACACTTTCTGCAACACCTGAATATTCTGAATATATTGAATCTTTCTTAACTAATCTAAAATGTTTTAATTGTACTTCTCTTCCTAATACAAATGATATATTTGAAGGAGAAGAAGAACTATGCAACAAGGAAGAACTGAGGTCGCCCTATAAATAGTTATGTAGTGACTAGATGAAGAAAATTGAAATGTTTGATACTCTGAGCAAAGAAAACCTATCTATGAAGAGAACAGTTACTCAGCTAAAATTACTTCTCACTAAAAAGGATGTGGAGTTGGTTAAGGTTAGAATAGATTTAGATGATGATCTTCTTGCTATAAAAAATATTAATACATGCACATCTAAACTTGAGGATATTGTATCTATAGGAACCGTTTGCAGGAAAAGTAGTTCAACTGCGAAATCTGCTAAAACTAGAAGTATGACATTTGTAAAATAAAAAAGGAAATTTAGAAAAGGAGAATGTTGATGAACAAATCACTGTCTTGACGCAACAATAACAAATAGGAAGTACTTGTGTCATTATTGTTCCCATCCTGGTCATATTAAACCGAACTCTCGAAAATTGAATAATGATAGGATGTTGTATCACATGTCTCGTAACATTCAGATAACACTCCAGAAAGGAAAGTTGTCTTGTCTAAAACTAGAAAGGTATGGGTTCCAATAGATGATAAAATTGCCTATAATGTCGTATATACTTCATTTACTGCTAACATTTCAGGGTCATGGTATTTTGATACTAGATGTTCAAGACTTATGACAGACATAAGGAACTATCTTTTCAATTATCAACCAGTGAACGAAAGACAAGTTACTTATGGTTGAGATGTAAAAGGAAGAGTCATTGCCAAGGGAATACTGGATGTCATTGGTTGGCCTAAGCTTAATAATGTGTTACATGTAGAAGGCTCAACATCAAACCATAACTATCAGCGAATTATGTGACGATAATCTAAGAGTTGAATTTGATGAGCTCTTTTCCTTTGTATATGATACTAATTGTTGTTGTCTTATGGCAGGTTCAAGATCTATAGGTAATTGTTATCAAACCTATGAAAATATTGTATGCCAGAGTTCACACACAAATTATGTGGAAATGCGACATCAAATACTGGGTCACATCAACTTCAAGAATACCCATGTGCTGAATCAATATGGTGTTGTCAAAGGAGTTCGAAATCTAAATTTCAACAACGCATTAGTGTGTGGAATGTGTCAAACAATTCCAACAAACCAAAGTGTCACACCCAGTGCTACATCATTTTGGAACTCAAAGATGTTTGGAATTACTTCACATGGATCTTATGGCTCCAACTAAGGTAGAAAGCATGGGGTACAAATTATGTTTTTGTATGTGTAGATGATTTTTCTCGTTTTTCATAAGTCTATTTTTTTCAAAGAAAAGTCAGTTACTTTTGAATCTATCAAAAAATTCACATTCAAATTTGCAATCAGCTTTCTCTAATTGTTTGTAGGATCGGAACTGATCTTGGATAATAATTTGAACATTTATTTTTCTCCAAGTTTTGTGGTAAAAAGAGATTTTTTCATGAGTTTTCTGCCACCAAAACTCCTCAGCAAAATGGCATAGTTCAAAGGAAAAATAGAAATTTACAAGAAATGGCTTGAGTCATGTTAAATGCTAAAAACCTTTCAAAAAGATTTTGGGCTGAAGGCGTTAACACAACATGTCATGTTTCAAAAAGAGTGTACATGGGACGACAGGGCCGGCTCTAGGTTATTGGGGCCTTAGACGAAACAAAAAAACGGGGCCCTTTATTTTCAAAAGGGATTTATTTAAAATTTATTTTTCGTGTTTTAATAGATTAAAATGTATTAATTTTTCTACAACTCTTTGAGATTCAGTCTTTTATTCTATTTTTTCGGTTTTAGATCCAAACAAATATTTTATCCACTCAACATAATATATGAAAAATCTATGAGCAATGACCAAAAATGGTAGAACATGGTAAATAGCAAGTTGAAAGTCAACGTAATAGAAACTTTATTCACCCAATCATCACCTGCAATAAATAGAAAGGAAAAAAATATCAT